CCTATTTTTGCCTCTATGATACCTTTCTTTGAATACATATCTATCAAAATTCAAACTTTCCATTTTGATATGAATAATGTTTAAGTTTTCCACAACAAACAACAGATTTTCCTACAGTAACCTCCAAAGTCTCCAAAACAAAGATGGGGCCCCACAACAATTCCACCTAGTTTATATGGTGCCATTCAGCTAATATCACCACTTAAAGATCAGTTTGGGATTACAAACTGCTCAGAATAATTTCAGAGTAGCTAGTTAGGATGATCCAGCCTAACAGACTACTCTAGCCAGGACCTGAGACAAGCAACATTTTCAAGACAAGGAGGAACAGCCCTTCAGAATACCCAGCTTCACAGAAAAGTCCAGCAGATATGCTAGGCCTGTAGGCCAAAGATACATGCCCCAACGTGGCAGAGGAACTTTGGGTGGCTGTCCAGACAGCCAGCTATTTCTGTCATTTCTCACATTTTTTGGAAGTTGCTAATTTGCACTTTCTGCTTATTCATTTAATATTATTTCCATATTGGGTCTCTGAGGGAGTTGAAGATTAGATAGTTATAGTTATAGTTTACCAGATGCAGAAAGCAAGTTATGATAGAAAGTTTTAGCTACACTGGCTGGACAGCAAGCGCCACTCTCAGTAACCTTTCTGTCTCTATCTCCACAGTGTTAGAGTTCTAGGTACCCATATGGCTACACCTGATTTTTTTTTCCTTACTGGGATTATGCTCAGGTCCTCAGTCTTACCCACTGAGCCATCTCCTCGGCCCCAATAGAAGTAATTAAAACAGTACTGATATTATTTATTATTCCAAAGTGGTTGAGTAGAGAAAACCCCAATTACAGAATGACACCATATGGTTTCTACTTCTAGGCATTTTAGTTCTAATTTTTGCTTTTGTTAGGTTTATTGTTTTGTTTGGTGGTTAGTCATTTGGAGTTTTGTTTGTTTAGGAGGTTTTTGGAGACAGGCCTAGAACTCTCTCATTCTTATTGTCTCAGCTAGTACTAGGTTTATAAACATGTGTCATCATGTCCTATTACCATGCTTAAACAAGATAAAAAAACAACAACAAAAAAGACACACACTTTATATTTGTTCAAATTGTTTGTTTCTGCTATGGGAGGGGGTGAACTGGATAGAACATTACAACATAATTTGTGATGAGATGTTGCGGGCCATGATAAAATTACAACAGTTGACAGCTGACAATTATAAAGCCAATCCACCAGATGATCAACTAATCTGATGGAGGAAATTCATAGGCAAGGCTTATGAATACATACAGACCACTCTTGTCTTTAGATTCACATGTGCAAAGACAGTTATAGTATCTCTCCAATATTTACACTATAATACGTAATCTCATGTGATAGGTATATGCAATCTCATGATTACATCTCAATCTTATGGGCAAATATATCTGTGGGTGGTCAGGAAGATGACTCCCCATTACTCTGTATAATTTTGATATACAGAAAACATACTAGGCTATGCTTCATAACTAGATCTATTGTCCTATCAGAGCTGTAAGGCACTTAAAAGGCTGCTTTGTTCCTTTTACTCAGACTAACACAAGAAAATAACAATTTCTCCTAAGTCTAAGACAAATTGCACACGATTAGCTCATTTTACCTCAGAGCAAGTTCAAACTAGACTAAAGGTTTTTAAAAACAGATCACAAGTTTAAAACTTCACAGTTTGGCACAACGTCAGAGTTGCAGGTGTCTAACCAAGGTAATTAACATAAAACCAGCCTTCACTTGTCAAGTCTGGCTGATAAAAGACCTATGTCTCAAAGCATGTCTCACTGGGCACTGTGCCCCCACTCTCTAGTCACAGTCTCACTCCAGAAAGCTTGAAACTTTGCATTGCCATGAGAAAAGGCTCAGCTCTTATTACCTACCCAAAGGAATGTGCTTTTGAACAATGGGATGTAACTCTTGTAATTTTTTATTATTGTTTCAAGCCTCCTGAAAAACAATGTATTTAAGCTAGGTAAACATAGCTGGGAAAAGAATTGAAACATAAAATCAGAATGAGATGTAGAATTACAGAATTAGAATTAAGAAATTATAGACAATTAGGACAAGAGAATTAGAATGAAAGGAAAATGACCCTCAGATAATGTGTGAAGGTATTATAGAAATCTTTCAGTCCTTACTCCTGAGAATCATTCTGAGAATCAGTTACCCTGGGTAGTGGTCAGGGAGCCAGACTTCCAGACCACTAAAATAAATATCAATCTCAACTGGCTTAAATAATAGAAAAGGATATTGTCTAGATTTAGCAGCTTCAGAAATAGTTTCTTTGGCTTCCAAGTTCTGTCTATAGTTTTCTTTTCTCTTTTCTTTGTTTTATTTCACTTTGTTTCCTTAAAATAATATATTTTGTAATATTTATAACAATCAGTTGAGATAAAGTAGGAGTTTGCTGAGATGCAATAATGAGTCCTTCCCTCATCTTTTAATGTCAGAAAGCTCCTAGACAAAGGAATCGAGAATATGGTGTGTGTTCTGGACTCCATAAAGTTCAAGAGGACTCTCAGTATTTTACTAGTGAAAAGATAGCTAGCTTGTGGCCTTCCAAGTTTTCATAATTCCTCTTTTTTTGCAAGAAATAATAAGTTAAATACTTCTTTCAACTCTTTTCATGTGGATTTCAGAGTATCTGTACTGGTTCTTCTGAGAGATGCTTTTCTTGACTTTGCCACCCTCAGGATGTCGGTTTCACCTTAGGGTGAGACAAGGTAGCCACAGTAGTTCTATGCATCTTGCTCAGACATGAGACTATCCAAGAGAAAGAGGAGGTCACCTTTCTTCTTGCTAGTCTTTCTCCACAGGAAAAAGATTTCCCAGAGCTTCCTGTTCTTTCTCTCAAATCATGGATGCATCACATGCTGATGCATACTTAGTTACCAGAAACAAATACACTAACTTACTAAACAAACCGGGACCATTTCCAGGAGCAGCAATATTGGAACATACACAAGACTGGTGAGATATTAGAAGAAAAGTTAATTTCAACTAACATAGAGCTGGAAACAAAATATAACATAAGGCACAGACAACAATGCTCCTAGGTATTACAAACTTATAAGTACTTAGTGACTGAAAAGGCAGGCAAAACCAATCTTTCTGAAATCTGAAAAAAATTCCATCTAATTCCTATCGTTTCTTTTCTCTATAAAAAAAAGTTTATTCATTTTGAATCTACATGGAAATTCATGCCAAATGTAGAAAATAAAATTTCAGTTATAGGATCTGGTTTCCTGAGAAATGTGGTTATTGTTTCCAAATGTGGTGCAAGCTAGAGTTATCTGGAAAGAGGGAACCTCGAATGAAGAATTACCTCCATCAGATCAGCATGTAGACGTGCCTGTGTAACAATTTCTTGATTAATAATGGATAAGCAAGACCTCAGCACACTATGAGCCAGTGCCAACCCCACACAGGTGGTCCTGGATTGTATGAAAATGGAAACTGCATGAGCCACCGAAAGCAGTATTCCTCCATGATCGCTGCTTTGAGTTCCGCCTCCAGGTTCCTGCTTTAGTGTCAGCACTGGCTTCCCTCAAAGATGAAATGAACCATGTAAATACAGAGGTAAGTATGTACGCACAAACCTGCTGTGGAAGGGAAAATGTTCAAAGATCAAGATGAACAAAACTGCACACAATCTATATTCTTAAAAGCTCTAGTAATTTTGAAATCTAGATTTAAAGAATTTCATTGAAGGTGCTGGAGTGATGGCTCAGTGGTTAAAAAGAATGGTTGCTCTTCCAGAAGACCCAGGCTAGATTCCCGGCACCCACATGGTGGCTCAAAATGATTTGTAACTCCAGTTTCAGGGGATCCAATGACCTCTTCTAACCCCCAAAGGCACCAGGCATGCATGTCGTACACAGACATATGTGTAGATAAAACACTCATACAAACAAAAATGAACAAATAAATAATCAAGAACCATAGAATATGCAGAGGGTTAATATCAAACTAAAGAGATGTATAGGCAAGAATGAGATCCTATTATCTGCATTTTTGGTTCACTGAAGGAATCAAGGTCTATGGATATAGAATACAAAAAATAGTAACTTAAATGGAAAATATCAAGACTACTACTAACTCTCAAAATTTAAATCTTAGTGAACAATTTAAAGATGATGTCTGATACTTTCTAGCTTTGAAGAAAATGAAAATAAATTATTCCTAAAACAAGTTTCTAAAGATGTATGTGAATTAGTGACTTCATCTGGTCACTGTCAATCTTTGGGGGTGTCCACAAGAATATGGTGACTTTGAACTTCTACTGGAAAGGTGTTTATGTGTATTGTGAGATTATGTTAAATAGACCATTGAAATGAAGATCGTAATAATAGACTATACATTTGATCTTCAATATAAAAGACAAAATATACTCCAATACAGTTATCTTTCAAATAAAACCCATTGTGAAGATTTCAAACTTTGAACCTGATGGGAATCACCTATGAGTCTCTTACGTTATCACCATAATGCCCCTCCTAATTCTCAGGAGTGAACTGATATAATAATTTGCTTTCCAGCACTCTAAATTATTCATCCTATAAACCCCCAGTCCAAAAGAGCAACAGTTCAGAAGCAGAGCTCTAAGCCTAGGGTAAAATACCAACTTCTTAGACTTGAGGATCATTCACTCATTGTACAGAACAATGATAAAACCAAGGATCTCATTGCACTCTCTTGAATAGCTAGGAGAAAAAGCCCTTAATCAATGAATATCTTCTCTTGTCGGTGATGTTCAAGTAATAGTTTCTCACTTTTCCCCTTTTATGTCATCTTTTTGGCACTGTAACAAAAAATGTACACTGACTTAGAAAAAGTTAATAAAGTAGTAAAAAGCACTGAAGAACCTAATCCAGAGGTAGATAATATTGAAAACAGCATCTCATGAAAAGTTGTAAAAAACACGTTTTAATTTTTCTGCCCCAGTGATTCCCACTTAGCTTTCCTTCTCTTACCTTTCTAACTCAGCTATCTTCTTATCTTTGTCATTCTTCTCATTTTCCACTTCTTTCAAGATTTCCAAGAGGCGATCAACTTCAGTCTGGGCCTTGCTAGATTCATCTTTGTACCTGGTAATCTCTCTCTCTAATTGCTGTATTCGGTCATTCATCTCTGGACTGGCTCTGGCTTCCAGTGTTGCTTCATGTGCCTACCCAAAAATTAAATTAAAAAATTAAAAATTTTAAAGTCTAGCCAATACAGGTACAGTGGCAGTAAGCAAACCATGCCCAAAGAACGAGTTATATTTCAATGTAAATAGTGTTAATGGCTAATCTTCAATTTCTAAAGCTTTTCTCTAATTAAGGATTACATGGGGAAAAGATTAATAATTAATGGGTAGGAATTATTTTAGTTTACAAATGGATTTCTTATTTAAAAAAACTATTTCATCTTGGAACACTTATTATGAGGTCAAAATTCATCATAACCCAACTGACGCTTTGATTGAGATTAATGAAAACTATATTGGAGGGCTATAAATACTGATCTTTGTATTCTTACATCAATGCTGAGACTTAGTTCTTTAGGCCTAACCCAATTTCCTTCTCCTATATGTGGCTTTGCCAAATGTATGACTCATATGGCCAGCAGCTACAAACAAATGCGTTGCAAATGAAACTGGGTTAAGAAAATAGCTACTCTGAGCTGGACATAATCCCAGCACTTGGGAAGCAGAGGCAGGTGGATCTCTGTGAGATCCAGGACAGCCTAGACTACAAAGTGAGTTCTAGAAAAGCCAGAATTAAACAGTGAGTCTTGGAAACAACCAAGAAAGAGGGAGGGAGGGAAGGAAGGAAGAAAGGAGGAAGGGAAGGAGGTAGGGAGGGAGGGAAGGAGGGAGGGAGGGAGGAAGAAAGAAAGAACAGTTTCTCTCAAGTATATTTCTCTAAAATTCAGAATTTTACAAGATAGCCTGGGATTGACAAATGAAGTTAGAAAGCAAGGCCCACTCTAAAAACTAAGAAAAAGTATATTCTGTTGTAAAAGACATCTAATAAAGTCAATATATTTTAAAGTACTGCAAATTACAAAATTACAAATTAGTTTTCAAATTCTCATTGTATTAATGTTCTTATTATTTTAACAGAATAGCTGAGAAAAGAAATTTAAGGGAAGACAGGATTGTTTGGGCTCATGGTTTAAGGGTATAGACTATCAAGGAGAAGGAGTAGCTGCTGGGGCTCCATCCACGGTTGTAGGATCATGTACATGGCATGATCTGTGGCATGCTGGGGACAGAGGGAAAGCAGAGAGCTCAGTTACAAGTAGAACCTGGCTAAGACCTAAAAACCTAAGGGTTTCAGTGACCTACTTCTGCCATCCAGACTTCATGTCTAAAAGGTTTTGTAACTCCAAAAACAGTACCACCAACTGAGGACCAAGTTTCAAAATGCTCTCAGCAAACCAAAATATTCCTTCTCACTAATTTCTAAAGCCATGTGTATATAATGAATGTACTTAATAAGAAGATAAAAACTAAAACATCACATTTTTTATCCAATAAATAGAAAATATATTACATCTTCAAAATATTTCAAAAATAGTAGAGGAAAATAAATTCTTCAGAAAATATTTTAGGAAAACACGACACAAAGTAGCATAAGTAAATGAGAAAAGTTTGTATAAATTAAGTTAAATCTTTCATGAAAGTATTATCTACATTTTCAGAGTGAATATGTCACCAAGTTCATTTGTTTAAGGTTCCATTCCCAGCAAGGGGGGATTTTAATCTCTTCAACACCTACTAACCTAACCTTTAAGTTACTTAGGAAACAACTACGCCAGCTTGGAGAATAAATAGACACCATTGTTTTTCAACTCTCTGACTTAGCTCTTCTCACACGGTTTTGCCAGAGTTGAATGAGGTGGGGTACTCCTGCTGGTCATTCTCGCATGGACAGGAGGGCTATGGAGACTCTTTTACTACAGTGTATCCAACAGCAGGGGGGACAGGAGCTGTTTCACAGAATGCTCACTGTAGCTGAGGTGTAAATAAAGAGCAGGAATGAATAAAGACACCCCACTATCCACACATACACAAAAAAGATAATAGGAAAGAGGAAACAGAAAGAGGTTGGGATGGGGCAACAAAAAGACAATAAACAAGTATCAACAACAGCTTATAATCAATGCCATGGAGATAAATCTTGTTACATTTAATTTTAACTATTGTTTATGCTATAAATACTACTGGCCTGGCGTTCACACATGCTAGGTTACGGTCACTGGTTAGTTAAATATTACTTCCATAGAAGGGGTCCTCTATACCCCAGACTCTGTGATTTGCTAAACTTTGCTGGGTATGTGTCTATTTTCGCTAACAGAGACTATTAACTCACTGAAGACTGGATAGTTCTATATTGTCTACCACCACATCCTCAGCACCCACTCTGTTAACTGACACAGGCCAGAAAAACGCTTAACAAATGAAATTGTATAACATATTCAGGATAATTTCTATTTGCTTTAAAACAGCCAAGAGGTATGTAAGATAACTCAGCAGTTAAGAGCTCTTGCTGCTCTTCCAGGGAACCCAATACCCATCTTTTGGCCCCTATAAGCACCCACATCCACATGCACTAACACACAAATATACACATTAAAAACAATAATAAATATTTTTAAAAAGTTTTTAATCATGTGCATGTGTGCCTGTTAGTGCATGTGAATGCAGGTGCCGATGGAGGCCAGTGGTATTGGATCCCCTGGAACTGCAATTACAGGTAGCTGGGAGCTGCCTAATGTGGGTGTTGGGAATCAAACCTAGGTCCACTAAAAGCGCAATACATGCTCTTCACCACTGAGCTATCTTTCCAACCCTAATAATAAACCTTTAAAATATATTTTTAAAGTAAAATAAAATAAATCAGTCCACAAGAGTGAAGGTAGGAAAAGAAGAATGACTGGGGACGAGGAGGAAAATGACCAGTAGCTAAATAGAAGTTCAAGGTTAAACATAACTCAGGAGTCAATGATCCAGAATAAAGAACCACTGAGAAGAAGGTCAATCTGCTACAAGGATGTAAAAAGTAAAAAAAAATTATCAACCCTTTCTTAATATCATAATAAATTTTATATCAGAGACACTTATACCTAAACTCTGTTGAGTTCATTTATACTTTTTTTGTTGTTTGTTTGTTTCCCAAGACAGGGTTTCTCTGTCATAACTGTGCTGGAACTTGCTTTGTAGACCAGGCTGTGCTCGAACACACTGAGATCCACCTGCCTCTGCCTCCCAAGTGCTGGGATTAAAAGCATGCACCAATACTGCCTGGCCATTTACACTTTAAAATGAAATTTCAAGAAATATTAAATCACATTAAATACTTTTGCAACTTTATAAAACTAATATAAACTAATATAAACTGAAAAAGAAATTTGCCAAGTCAGTGTTACATTTATTTAAAATAGTTTTATATCTGAGCACGGTAGCATATATTCTAGCACTTGAGAGGCTTGAGGTGGAACTTTGTGAGTTTCAATCCAGCCTGATCTACATAGCAAATTGCAGGACAATGAGCTATATAGTAGGAATACGTGTCAAAATAAATGAATTAATTAGTTAACTTGGCAAATAGAGTAAAATATTTAATTCAAGATGTAAACCTCAAGCATGGAAGCATGCGTCTATAAATCCCAACACTCTGAAGTACAGGTACAAAAACAAGTTACTGACAAGCAAAAGATATAGAGACCCTCCCTGTCTCAATGAATAAAACAACAAAAGAAATAAACACACACAAAAAAAAACTGTGAACAGAAGAGAAATCATCCCTTCATGATAAAAACTTTCTTGATAGACTATGCATGGGAAGCATCTATCTCAATGTAGTAAGAGCTATGTATGACAAATGTAAACATGATCCTACATGCAGAAGAACTCAAAACATTCTCACTAAAATCAGGAATAAGACAAGGGTATCTGTGTTACAATTCAACATAGTACTTAGTCCTACACATAGCAAAAAGACAAATGAAAGAAATAACCGAAACTGAGCTGGAAGTGACCTCTTCGCTAGCCAACTTTCTTTTTTGTTTTTTTGTGTTCTGTGTGTGTGTGTGTGTGTGTGTGTGTGTGTGTGTGGTTTTTCGAGACAGGGTTTCTCTGTAGCTTTGAAGGCTGTCCTGGAACCAGCTCTTGTAGACTAGGCTGGCTTTGAACTCACAGAGATCCTCCTGCCTCTGCCTCCTGAGTGCTGGGATTAAAGGCGTGTGCTACCACCACCCTGCACTAGCCAACTTTCATAGTACAGAGAGTGCACTGCAGGCTACTAAGTGATAAAAGGCATCAATGGTCTTACCCAGCCGAGAACCCTATTAACTACAATACCAACTGGCCAGGCAATTATGTGCCTCCTTGGTGCAATGGTGGCACTACTGATATGGGGGGAAACCAAGCACTCTGGTAAGTTTTAAAGCCCACTCCACAAACTGAGTTTCATGCCTGATCCTATAAACACAGTTAAAGAACCCAGAGTTAAGAAGGTCTTAGATCCAAGGGGTAACTTTATACTCTTGGTTAGCTAAATTGACATAATGCCAAGTTGCCTTCTAAATACCTCTAATTATACCCACATATAAATACTACTTGTCTTTTTTCTTTCTTCTTTTTTTTTCTCCTGGGTTTTGGAGACAGGGTGGCTTTGAACACTGTCTTAATCAGAAAAACTTCTCTTTGGAATGAAAGGTGGCAAAATGCAAAAGATTCATGGTTGATCGAGATATTTAAAAAAAAAAAAGTTATGGCTGAGTGCTCAGCCTTCAACAAGACTCATATTACCCCCTCTCAGGATCAGGTGAAGAGAAAGTGAGAAGAATGTAAGGACTGGGATATGTGGAGAAAATCTATAAAATGCTTTCTTGTGGGCATGATATAGTCAATGTAATCATGAACTCATGTAGCAGTGGCTGCCAGCAGTGGGCCTCCATGAGATTAGCCTGCTGTCAAGTCAATCATAGATTGTGGAGGGGTCTCTGTGACCCTGCCCTAGCCTGGTTAACTTATGATCCAGAAGAGTGGCAAACATTCTGATCAGCACTGACGAGCTCCACATGTTCCAGTGAACAATACAAACCATAGTCACATAGCCCGGTGTGCTGGTTTGTTGACACAAGTTAGAATCATCTGGGAAGAATGAATCTCAGTTGAGAAACTGCCTCCATAAGACTGCCTATAGTCTATGAAGTGTTTTCTTAGTTATTGTTGTGGCAGAGTTCAGTCCATATGGGCAATGTCACCATGTGGGCAGATGGTTCTTGGTTGCATAGTAAGCCATGCTTCTATGGCTTCTTTCTCAGTAACTGCCTCAGTTCTTGCCTTCATTTACCTTCATGATAAGCGATATAAAATAAACCCTTCTCTTCAGGTTGCTTATGGTCAGGGTGTTTTTAGCTTTAAACTCAGTGTGTTAAAACAAAGCAAAAACATGCTTGTGAGAAAAGGACTCTGGGCAATTATGTAAAAGGAATGAAAAGGAGAAAGAATGTGATAGTAATCAATATGTACAATATATTCTATGAAACTGTCAAGCTAAACAGAAAGAAAATACACAGTTTAAGCACAGACTTGAAAGAAGATCCTAGTGAAAGGCCAGGATTTTTTTTTTTTTTTTTGGTTTTTCGAGGCAGGGTTTCTCTGTGGCTTTGGAGCCTGTCCTGGAACTAGCTCTGTAGACCAGGCTGGTCTCGAACTCACAGAGATCCGCCTGCCTCTGCCTCCTGAGTGCTGGGATTAAAGGTGTACGCCACCATCGCCCAGCTGAAAGGCCAGGATGTTAATGCACTACCAAAATTCTAGACTAAACTGGGATCGTTAGAAGCTAAGTGGTGGTAAAAGCGAAAAAAAAGGAAGCAGCCCTGGATAAGCAAAGGGCAGTCTGCAGGAACCTTCTAGAACCTGTCTCTCGGGAATGAAAGTCTTCCTCTTCCCAAACTCATGTGCTGAAGGCTTGACTTGCCAATGCGATGTTCAGAACTGGGGTGACTGGGAAGTGAGTGGGTAAATCAGGAGAGCAATGACCTAATCTGTGGTTCAATCATAGAACCAAAATGGCATTTCGGAGAGGCTGACACTCAGGATCTCAGTACAGGAAGTAGCTCACTAGGGCCATGAGCTTAAAGGAACACTTTGTCCTTGCTCCTATCTGCTCTTCTGGTGGGCATGATGCTCTGTCCCACTGAAGACTAAAAGCAATGGAGTCATCCAACCATGGACTGGAACCGCTCAAGCTGTAAATCCAAATAATTCTTTTCTACTTGAATGTGTATCTTTGGTGTTTGGTCACAGCTACGAAACCAAACCCATCACAAACCCACTAAGAAAAATGAAAATAACTGTACAATCTGTACTGTCACCGTGAGCCTCAGCGGAAGAGGGGGGGGAGGGAAGGAGGAAGGACTCAGAGCTATCGACAGTGTTCTTATGCAGACAAAGTGAGAATGGGAGCTCCTCAACCTTCTTCAGCTGTGACTCCATTTTCAGGCACTCTTCCTTCTTCTGTTCAAGAGCAATTTCAAGGGTCTTGAGTCGTGAGTCCTTTTTCAGTCCTGAGGAAGCCAGGGAAGAAGCATGCTCTTTGAGATCCAAGAGAGAGGCCTAAAAGCATCAAGACATGTTTAGATGAATACTGTGAAATAAAATGTAGATTTAATTTTTCAAATTGTTAGTCATAGCATCTGAAAGTTCCCATTTCAAGAACATTCATGAACTATAAAAATGCATTATCTTCAGCTTCCAGACGTTAACTAAAATAAGGTTGACCCTCAGGACTAAATGGACAGTGACATAAAGAGTCCTAGAAATGACTGGGGTGCAGCTCCAGTAAAAAGCCTGCTTGGCATGCATCAAGTTCTAGGTTCAATTTTCAGCACCACGTAAAGCAGGCATGGAACACACTTGTAATTGCAGCACTCAGGAGGTGAAGGCAGGAGGATCAGAAGTGGAAGGCCAGCCTGAGATAGAGGAGGCCCTGTCGCAAAACAGAACAAGAGCTCTACCCTAATGTACTTATTTTCACAAAATAAGAGAGACTGAGCTTTGAGAACCTAAGTAACCAAACTTAGTAACTAACTTGAATGGGGATTCCCCCCCCCCCCCCCCGCCTTTCAGCAGGAAATTCTTGTAGAAACTTACTTGTGGAAATTTTACTAGACAAATCTGCTGGATTACTCATCACACAGCCAGGATTATTCAAAAATAAGATCAAAATCGTGAAGTCATATAAGTTATAGGTGATTGTGTTTCTAATAACGGTTATAATTAGATTTCTTCCTTTGTTACTTGTATTGTTAGCAGTGTCTCTCATTATAAAACATGGCTGCAGTTACTCTAGGATACGCAGCTTTGCTATCACATAAGAAACCAACTCTTAAAACAGAGAACAGGGTCTTAACGGGCAAAGAAGTGATAAGCAGTCTACTGTAGCACTCACAGCTTCCTAGGCAACTAGAAAGCCTGCCACAAAATACTAAGAATCTTTCTTGCTTGTCTGCGCTGCGCAGACACCGCAGAGACACAGAATGCGATGACTAAGCAAACTGAGTAACTCCATTTGGTAATCCTAACCTCCTTCTCGGAGAGATCTCCTTGTAACAGGCTGACTTTTTCTTTCAAGTCTTTAAGATCTTTCTTGTAGGTATCAATCTCTTCTTGCTTCTCTCGCTCATCTCTGTCCCGCTGCTCCTTTAAGCGTTCAATTGTCCGTTCCTAAAAAGAAAGCACACCAAGTCATGAGGAAACTACAATTTGTACCTACATCATGTAGCATACTCTGCTTCCTCTGACCAAAGTCAATTCTTATATCATCTACTAAAAAGGCAATGGTAAGCTCTTCAAGAATTTATATAGTGTATATTGTAAGTGTTTTAATAAATAAAGCTTGTCTGAAGATCAGAGGGCAAAGCAGCCACACTAGGCAGCCATACAGGTCAGGGAGTGGTAGCACACACCTTTAATTCCAGGACTAGGAAGACAGAGGCACACAGGCTCTGTGAGTTCAATGCTACTGAGGGCTACACAAGACTGAAACAATCTAAAAAAGAAACAGAGCTCACACAAAGGTGATCCCAGCACTTGGGATCCCACTCCTTTAATTGCAGCACTAGGGAGGTAGAAACAGGAGCGATAAGGCTGGGCAGGGAAAAAATATAAAGGGGAAGAGACAGAACTCAGTGGAGTGCGGAGTTTGAGGAAACAGGATCTTGCCCATTCTGTATGAAGACTTGGTAGAGGGAAAAGGTCTCTCTAGTGGTGGCTGCTTTGCTTCTATCATTTTCAGGTTGAACCCCAATATCTGTCTCTGGGTTTTTATTGTTTGTGCTATAAATTAACTTTTCAAATAACTAATTTTTCCTTTTGTAAACAATAAATGTCCAACTTTGCTTATTTTTAAATTCCAAGAGTGGTTTCCTATATCACCTCAAATATTATTAGATGTCACTAAAGTATTCTCTTGAATCACTAAAGTACTCTCTTGAAATATTGCCATTTAAATTAAATTTTCAAGTCACAAAAATTTATGTGTATGCCCTTAGGACAATAAGTAACATATTTCTTCACTATAATGGTACTGACACACACTACCTACACAGCCACAGAAATTACTCATAACTCATATATCAAAAGGAGGGAGGGGAACTACAATACAATAATCTAACATAAAGGAGGACAAAGACGAGGTAGAAAAATTTAAACTTATTCTTCCAGGTGTTCAGAAAGCATGAAGGCTAAAGGAATTTATTATATTTCTGGGTGGTATTTCAAACATACTCACAGAACACACGATCATTCTGGCAACAGATCAAAGTATTCTGACTCCAAAGGACCTAAGGAATGTTGTGTTATGCCTCTGAAAAGAATCCAGTTAAATATCCCAAGGAAAGTACAGCATGATGGGATAACCCTTTAATTCCAACCCTGGGAACTGGAAATAAGAGGATCAAGAGCTAAAGACCACCCTGAGTGTTAAGGACTATTCTTGATTATCAAATAGACTACATCTAGAATTAACTAAAACCCAAATGGCTGGGCACATATTTTCTTAATTAAATAATCTGAAGTGTAAGGACCCAGTTCTAATCCAGATCTTTGAGGTGGGACACCATTAATTCAGCTCTTTTGAATTAATCTGGGCCACACACCTTCTGCTAGTAGCCTATGTAAAGGACATGGAAGGAAGCTAGCTCTCTCTCTGCCTGCTTGCTTTCACTCTCATTAGCAAGTCTATTTATTCTACACTATTCTATTCTGGCATTTACTGAAGACCAGCTGAGACATCTAGAATTAACTAACAACTACTGGATTCTTGGACCTTCCATTGATAGACAGTCATTGTTGGCCAACCTGGACCACAGCCTGCAAGTAATTCCAGTAAATTCCCATTAAATGGATGGATGGATGATAGATTCAGTCTAAAAGTTTGTTCCTCTAAAGAACCCTGACTAATACACTGAGCTATACTGTGAGCCTGAGGCCAGCACATGAGACATATAACATGAATAATAAAAACACAGAGACAGATATTGGGGTTCAAGTTGAAGATCAGAGAAACAGACCAGTAAGTCACTAGAGAGACCTTTTACCTCTACCAATGCTCACACCAAAGGGGTGATCCTCAGACTGCCTAGACTGCACTGTCTCCACCAAACCTCAGACTCCACACTCCAGTGAGTCCCTGTCTCTTTTATATTCCTCTCTCCAACCAGCCGTATTGCTTCTGTCTCCACCTGCCTGGTGATAAGATTAAAAGTGTTTGACTCCCAAACACTTTTAAAGGGGTCAGTCACCACCACCTGGATCTGTTTCAGGATCAATCTTGTATAGCCCAGGATGGCCTTAAACTCACAGAGGTCTGTCTGCCTCTGTCTCCTGGATTAAAGGTGTGTGCCACCACTGCCTGGTCTCTAGTAGCTTAGCTTTGCACTCTGATCTTCAGACAAGCTTTATTTATTAAAATACAAATAAAATATCACTATAGAGACCTCTATCACAAAACAAGTCACCTTCCAAAAACAAAAACAAACAAATAAAAGAACAATAAAAAACAAAATCACCATAAGGAGATTCTCTAAAATATCTTCTAGGATGGTACAGACCACTTATTCATTTAACCATTCCTTTAAATCATAAAGGTAAAATAAAGTAATAAAAGTCAAGGGGCTAGAGAAATTGATTCAGTGATTAAGAGTATTGACTGGTGCTCACTTAGGCAGCACATGTACTAAAACTAGAATAATACAAAGATTAGTATGGCCCCTGTGCAAAGATGACAATAAAAAGAAGGGAGGGAGGGAGGGAGGGAGGGAAAGAGAGAGCGAGAGAAAGAAAGAAAGAAAGAAAGAAAGAAAGAAAGAAAGAAAGAAAGAAAGAAAGAAAGAAAGAAAGAAAGAAAGGAGGAAGGAAGAAAAGTGGGCGGGCAGGTGGGCACTGACTGCTCTTCCAGAGGACTCAGATTCAACTCTTAGCACCCACATGGCAGCTACAATACCAGGAAATCCAATACCCTCTTCTGGCCTCTAGGGACTTCTGGGGACACAAGGTATATGTGATACACAGACATAGATGTCAACAAAACATCTATACACAAAAAAATAAATAAAATTAAAAATCATTTTAGGAGTATGCCAAGACTAGAAAAGTAGTAAAGGTGCAATATTCATGAATAAAAGTCATGAATATGCCATGGGATGGTTAGGTAACAGAGGAGAGCTAGTCTGGGATAGAATCCTGATAATCAATGTCCCATATTCTACACATTTTATTAAGTAATGGATTTTCTTTTCGTTCTGAAAGCAGCAAAATAGGGAACATATGCTGATTGTATTGGAAACGTGGTGATGGTCTTTGGTGTACAACCAACCTTTCCGAGTAGTTGGTGCTAGCATCTAACAGTAACTAGAGTGTCTTTCCACTTCCCACTCTGCACATCGGCAGCCAAGAACTGTTTCCATGAAAAGATTTCTTCTGTGTTTGTAGCCAGTTTTAGAATAATGAGAAAGCAGAACACAAAGGTCTGGGAAGGGTCAAGCCAATCACTTACTTTCTCTGCAAGAGCCTCCTCCAAGGTCGTTAGCGCTGTGTCTGTGTTGGTGGTGTCCGCCTGCAGAGACTTGACTCGCTCTTTCAAACTGCTCATCTGCTTTTCTTTATCTCTCAGTTGTTCCTGGAGATTTTCAATCTGAATAAACACATGCATTTCAGAAAAAAAGTCATTTATGGGGTAGAAGTAGGCCCAATAACAATTATTTAAATCATAAACAAATTATGGTATGTGTGTGTGTGTGTGTGAGAAAGAGAGAGAGAATTCTCTGTAAAAATAATTTAAATTTGTTTTAAAATTATACACTAAACACTAGAGTAGATAATTTAAATTTGTTTTAAAATTATATACTAAACACTGTAGTAATATTTCATCTGTATTTTAATAAATAAAGCTAGTCTCAAATCCAGATTGCAAAGCTAAACCACTAAAGACAAGGGAGTGGTGGTGGCACAAACCTATAATCCCAGGACTCAGGAGACAGACACAGGCGAATCTCTGTGACTTCAAGGCTACCCTAGGCTATATAAGATTATAAACTCGATCCAGAAATAGATCCAGGTGGTGGTGGATGACCCCTTTAATCCCAGTGTTTGGGAATCACACATCTTTAATCCTAGCACTAGGGAGGTGGAGACAGGAGCAATACGGCTGGGCAGGGAAAAATATATAACAGGGAAGAGACAGGAACTCAACTAGAGTGTGAAGTCTGAGGATTAATGGAGACAGGATCTTGAACACTTAAGTGGTCTGAATGGATTTGGTGGAGATAAAAGGTCTCTTTAGTGGCTGGCTGCTTTGCTTTTCTGCTTTTCTGATTTTCAGGTTGGACCCCAATAGCTGTCTCTGGTTTTTATTATTCATGCTACACCTTACAACAGTCAAAGTTTTGCACCACCACAGAGAAATGATAAGTATCCTAAGGACATATATACAAATACGCAAATCCTTGCCGGGTGGTAGTGACGCATGCTTTTAATCCTAGCACTCAGAAGGTAAAGGCAGTTGGATCTCTGTGAGTTCAAGACCAGCCTGGTCTACAAGAACTAGTTCTAGGATAGGCTCCAAAGCTACAGAGAAACCCTGGCTCTCAAAAAAAAAAAAAAAAAAAAAAAAAAAAAAAAAAAAAAAAAAAAAAAAAAAATAAGCAAATACTTAACAAAAGAAGACAAAATTGTCTTATGAGATGGAAAGTCCCAATGTGAAGACAGTATTGCTGAAGGACTGCAATTAGTCCACATGAAATAGGATTACTTCTAAGATACCACTGTGAATGCCAAGAGAGATTTCTGCACAATAAATTAAAGGATAAGGAACACTTCAACTAGACAGAAGACCAAATCAGCTGTGTAAAAGAAAAGCTGTTCTTGAGTATTAGTGTTTAGATTTTTAAATCACCCTTTATCTAAACAGCAAGTATTTACTTGAAAGAATAACTAACCAGCCTGACCCACTTGGCTTATAAGATCAGACAAGACTGGACACATTCAGAGTCATACATTACTAGACAATTGCCAATTTCCCTATAGCATGCCAGGCACCGACGTGCTAAGGAAGATGAAGAGATGAGCTGAAGCTGAGCAATAGACGGACCTGCTGGCCTCTTAGGGAGTAGACTGAATTTCACACAGATAGGAATGATTGCACGTTTTCAGTCGTGGAAATGGTCTGTCAACTTTAGTTAGATAATTTTCGTGGCTGTGGAAATGAAATTAAAGCAACTTCCATAAAGACTTGATCAATAATTCTGAGATTCTATTTGCTAAGGTAAAAGATTATGAGACTGATTATTATTGCAAACCAAGCACAGTGACGCATGCCAATAATCTTAGCACCTTGAGAGAAAGAGGCGGGAGAAGCATGAGTTCTGGGTCATGCTGTGACACAACATTCATTCAAGGCCAGTCTTAGCTACATGAGACTGTATCTTAAAAACACACACAAACAACCAAATGACAAAGGCAGGTGGAAATTAAAGTAAGGACTATAAAATGTTATTGGCAAAGTATTTTTATGGTTATATATGTTTAAGGTTATAAATGCTTCCTGTACTTGGTTGTCCCATTTTTCCAAGATTTTGGGGAGCCTTAGCAATTATTTTTATTAAAGAGGCTTTCTATGCCTCCAGCCTGTAGCTCTCCTCCCAATGAGCCAAATATTTCGTCTTTACATTTGCTCTTCATGATTTCTTGTTTCTTTTTTTAATCAAATTGTTATAAATTATTGACTATAAGCTATTATATTCAAGTTTTTAAAAGTACGAGACTAAGAAAGAATATTACATACTGAAATAGAGCAGTGCCAAGCAATATGTAAAGGCAAATGCCTTAGACCAGTGGAAGACTTCATAGAAGAAACTCTACATGCCTGGAGGGCTTGGGATGATGCATTTCAGTCTTCAACTACCAACCAAGAGTACTGCACCTGGACAAGGCTTAATGGTCACTCAGAAGAGAATTTAATACACACCATCATTAAGAACATAAATAAATCCCACTAGAAAATAGATAATTCAATGAAAACAATAAAGAAATATTACCAATACAGTAAACTATCAAATTTGTAAGAAATAGAGGGAAACATGAGAAAAATAATGTTCAAAGTTATGCAAAAAAACTGGAATGAGATACAATAATTTTATATTCCCCAAGTGTTGAAAGAGCACAAAACAAAACCCCCTACTAGACAAAGAGTGAGTGTGTGTTGTGAAATATTATTTTAACTAGGCAAAGATGTGTTACATTTGTTTATGCTAAAGAATATTACTTTAACTATCTAAAGGCATGTTACTTTTGTTTTTGCTGCATTTGTTTAATTGTGTAAAGATTTGTTGCATCTGTTTCACTTTGCCTGCCTAAGACACCTGACTGGTCTAATAAAAAGCTAACTGTCCAATAGCTAAACAGGAGAGGGACAGGCAGAGCTGCGAGGCAGAGAGAAGAAAGAGCAGCCCAGGAGAACAGGACAGCTCAGTCAATGGTCTAACCACCTGGCTATTACCACAGCCACCACTGTGTCAAAGTACCAATTACTTCCTGGGATACTTTCCCAGAGAACTCAAATACCAAAGAACAGGGTGACAATGGAAACCACTGCCTATTGTCCTTGCTCATAGAATAATGTGTTAATTGAGAAGCAACGTGGGTTAAGTATTACACAGAAAATATCTCTGCAGGAGTGCCTAAATTCTTCCTAGAAAGTTAAATTACAGTAGCTCTCTGTAGAAAAGTTTCTTACATTTTTTTTACTGAAAATGTTGAGGGTTAAAAGAAAGGACACTGAATTCTATTTCTTTCCTAAAAAAAATTTAACAGGACAATAAAGATGGCTGCATTCACTGAAGTCTAATTCATTAAGTGAGAATTGGTTATAATTTTCTCACAGGCCAGGTAATTTCCGAGTCTATATTATTCACAAGTAAAGCTGTAATGGAATTTTTGGAGAATATAATATAAGAGGCTGTCAAGGCAGCTCAGTACATAGGGGCAAGTGCCCTTTAAGTACCCTTTAAAATCAGAGCTCAGGGGCTGGAGAGATGGCTCAGAGGTTAAGAGCATTGCTTGCTCTTCCAAAGGTCCTGAGTTCAATTCCCAACAACCACATCGTGGCTCACAACCATCTGTAACAGGGTCTGGTGCCCTCTTCTGGCCTGCAGGCATACACACAGACAGAACATTGTATACATAATAAATGAATAAATAAAATGAATAAGGTTAAAATCAGAGCTCAATCCCTGGAATCCTCATGGTGGAAGGGAAAACCAACTCTCAAAAGTTGTTTACAGAAAGGTTAAACAACAGGATATCCTAAGAGGAGGTGACACACTTCGTCCTCCAGGAAAACTAGTTAAAACAGAAAGCGGACAAATCAAAGCAGCTTCAGACAGTCCCTGAAAGTGAGCAGAACCCAACGTTATATATGAATCAGGACTGCTGGGGAAAGACTGAGAAAAGCTGAGGTGTTTAGAAGAGGCTCAGACAAAGTAGCATGGAAGAAGCAGATCAGCCAAAGAGGCCAGAAGAAACAAAGACAAGCACAGCTGCTGGAAGAATCTCAGACCAACTGAACATAAGGAAGAGGCGCCCTCCAACTGTTGAGCCGCCTGCAGGTTGCATACTGTGCTCCAGGTTTCTAACTTTCATGAACTGCCACTGTGCTGGGGTAGGCTTTTAGTGATGCAACTGTGTTTGAGTTATTTCTACTCCTGAAAATTATCCCTCACCCACATTCTTCCGTGTAACCCCAGTAAAACTCATTAGTTCACCCAGGTGGACTTTGGTTATCGAGACTCTAGCCTATCATCAGTTCCCTCTCTGAGGTGAGCAGACATTTGTTCAAGTTTTCCAAGAATAGTGTCACACAACAATGATGACAGATACAGACCCTAAATTTCACATGAGGAAATGGTAACCACAATCACTAAATTTAAAAAAATTATGATGAAAAGAATAGCTTATTAATACATGCCACAAATATGAAAACCTGAAAAAAGCCACTGAATACAAACACCAATAAAATAGACGTTCTAAAACGTTAAGTTTTGAAATGTGTCACAAAACCTATGTTAACAGACATTCGTGCATACAGTCAAAAATCAAACATCTAAAAGTTACAGCAAACTAAATGTGTCCCATTTTTAATTGGGGAAGAAAAACTGCTACAAATCACTAAAAGGTAAATAAACCTATGAACAGACACTTTGCAAAAATGAAAATAAAAAGACCTTAAATACATAAAATTATATTCCATCTTGTTTATAAGGAAAGAGGTGGAGCCATAATGACAAACTACTTCCTCATTTCCAAGCTGGCAGAAGCAGAGAGACTAATAAAAACCCACTCTAGATGGGTCTTTATGGAAACACTTTCATACTATGCTTGTAGGAAACAGCTGATACTTGGGAAAGTCATCAAAATTATAAATGCCTATCATTTCACCAAGGTATTCTACTTCAAGGAATCAATCCTAGAAAGGTAATTAACACAAACAGAAGCTAAATACAAACCATTTTTAGTGTAGTATTATTTTATATAAAGCAAAAAATGTAGGTATGCCATCAGAATAAACTTTGCTAACAAAGTTGTAAAACATCTTATACATGTTTACATGTATACAATGTATTACAATGATTACACCTTTGGAACACCTATCCTTGGGGTGGAACTTGGAAACATTAACCTTAAAAAAAGGAAAAATAATAGTAAGGAATGGTAAGATTTGCCTCAAAGTGTGTGTGTGTGTGTGTGTGTGTGTGAGAGAGAGAGAGAGAGAGAGAGAGAGAGAGAGAGAGAGAGAGATCGCACGTGCATGTGTACCCATATTTATCCCTGTATATAGACTACCAGGTGCCAAGAAAAATAACTCAAAAATATAAACAAAATAAGAATATATATTTGCTTCTTTACATGCAAGCTGTCACTGAAGCATAAAGGAAGTGAGCGGTGTGGGTAGAAAGACATAAAAATCACTACATTTTTAAAACAACAAATTAGTATGCATTAACAAAACAATCAACCAATATTTAGAGTGTTCAGGGCTGGAGAGATTGCTCAGTGGTTAAGAGCATTGCCTGCTCTTCCAAAGGTCCTGAGTTCAATTCCCGGCAACCACGTGGTGGCTCACAACCATCTGTAAAGAGGTCTGGTGCCCTCTTCTGTCCTGCAGACATGCACACAGACAGAATATTGTGTACATAATAAATAAATATTAAAAAAAAAGAGTGTTCAAAGTTTTACAATAGCAAAAAGGAAATGAGAACAAGTGAATATAACTGAAAACACAGGACACGATCTTCTTCAAAGAAAAAAGCTAAATCGTTGCCAAGGTCAGCAAAGAAAGTTCTTCCTTGGTGACTGTTAGCAAATTAACAATAAACTAGGAAAGTGTCAAACACTGCAAATCTATCATTTCAGCAGAAACAAACCAAAAATGACATGTCTATAGCTACTGCATCAAGGACAGCTTTTATATAAGTTAAAAACTAGAAAAAAAATTAGTAGTTTTATTTTTATTCCAAAATAGGTCCATTTCAAATAATGGCCAAAGAGGTTAGTCAGTCTTTCATACTGCAAGTCACTAACTCAAGAGGAGTGCTACAATCAAGGTATAGAGTAAACCAGCTCAGCTTCCAGGTTTGCCTCTACTTTATATGCTTATTACAGGCGCAAGCTATACTCTTCAAAATTGTCACCTAAGTAATGAAATGGATTACCTATGTGCTATTCATAGATTTCTATTCCAATTAAAGACAGTAGAGGTAGGTTAGCTAACCAAATATTGTGCCGATTGCTAAAACACTTTTGAGAAACAGGATGAGAAATCCTACTAAAAGAGAGTGATACCGCTGAGTTCATGAAAGACTGAACTTGTAGAGCAGTTTTAGCAATCTACCTCCCGCAACAATGGTTCCGAGTACTCTGCAAATCTAAACAGAAGGAGAGCAGCTCTAGTGGTAGGTTGGCAGAGTGCTCAGAAGAAGGTTATGTCACAAGGGGCCACTGTGCAGAGAACACTTGTGCCTTACCTTTTTCTGAAGAACATTGACCTTCCGTTCCTTCACGTCCAGCATGTCCTTCAGGTCATGTATCTCTCCAGCTTGTGTACCCTTCTCCTCAGCCATATCTTGAATTTGTTTGGTTTTTTTATTTAGCATAGTCTCCTTTTCTTCTAAACGCAATCGAAGAGCATCCACCTAAGAACAGAAGATTTACAAACAATGAACAGAACAGAAAGGAGAGGAATAGTGTTGTGGAATGATCTTTTGTACACTGTAAAGATTTGACACTTGGATTGGTTTAATAAAAAGCTGAACAGCTAATACCTAGGCAGGATTTTCGAGGCAGAAAGGATACTAGAAAGAAGAAAGGCAGTGACACAGAGAGTCACCAGTCAGAGACAGAGGAAGCAGGAAAGTATCATGGGCAGTACAGAGTAAAGATAATAAATCCATGAGGCAGAAAGTAAATTAATAGGGTAATTTAAGTTTTAAGAACTAGTTAGAAACAAGCCTAAGCTATCAGCCAAGCTTTCATAATTAATAATAAGTCTGTGTGCCATTATTTGGGAGCTGAATGGCGGGACAGAGAAAGACTAGTTACAGAATAGAATTCCTTGGAATAGGGTTGCCCATATTTTAAAGAAAATAAAACTTGATTCAGGGGAGTTACATTACTTTATTTTTAAAATTACAATAAGAAGTGAAATAATTAGAACTTAAACATTCCAAATGTAGTGCATTCAAAGGATATCAAATAAAAAGCACAGAGGCAGTGTACAGGAATCAGCAGCCTTCCTCTGAAAAACATATCAGTCAGAAAGACTGTTGAAAGAACCAACATTTAGCTTGGTTATTAAATGACAAATTGACCTTTACTAGATCTGAAACAGAAAGCAGAGGTAATCTAGTGAAGGAAAAAGAATATTTTGAAACATAAACACCAAACAAAGCATGTTCTAATAGATTCATTTGAGATGGCTGAGCATAAAGAAAAAAAAAGGGCCTAAAATGATATACAGAAAGGCTCCAATTGCCAAATATGATACTTAATTTTATCCTGTTTGCAAATGAAAGTCAACAAAAGACTTGTAAGGAGGAGGAAATGATTGTCATATCTATGTACCAGAAAATTATACTACTCTGGTCCCTGGGAACACAGGACAATTGTTTTTCCCCTCCTTCAGCAGAGATTAGAACCAACAGGGAAGAAAGTAGCAGGGGAGCATGTGTTTTACAGGGAACACTAAACTGAAGTAATGTTTTCTAAAAATACAGACTAGGGACCAGAGAGAAGGTCCTGTAGGAAATGACCAAGCATGACAAGCTAAACTCAATCCCCAAAACACACATTAGATGAGGACTGGCTCTTAGAAGTCGTACACATACACTTACCTCCACACACATACACTAAATACATAAGTTTAAGAAAAAGAATAACTCAGCTTGAAGGTCTGTGACTGGATACTAGAGAAGCTTGGACAACTTATGAATGATGAGCAGATGCTGGCTGGTGAGGAAGATAACGAGAGAACCTTTCAGAGTGGAGGTACCATAAATACTGATGATCAGAAGAGATGCTAACGTCTCAAGAAGCTACACACAGAATGGTTAAAGCTAAGGACAGGAAGGAAGTCACAGGAAAGGAGGCTAAAAGCAGGTCTACATCAGTGTCAGGTCTAGAAGTATGAATTTTATTGCCCATAAAAAGGAAAAATGAGAGAGAACAGCCAAAGATAAGCTTTCATCTTTCTAATGAAGAAAATCAGTGAGTTTAGCTTATGGAAGGAAGCAAGAACCTTATTTCTTAAAAGTCTTCCTGATAATAACTGACTTACACGATAATGATCTAAAAATGCTACCCAACAAGCTAGAAATCCTGAATACCTTGCTCTTCAGCTTCTTACAACTCCAAAAATAAAGTATCACAAACTATGCAGCTTAAAACAGAAACTATCCCCCCGCCCCCAACACACACACACACACACACACAGATCTGGAGGCTAAGAAAAGTCTAAGAGTAAGAATGTCTGTAGGACTAAGCCTCCCACTGAGGACTATAGCTCTTTCTTAGCCTCTCCCTACATTCTGATGACTCCTGGAAAATCTTGGCCTTGAATACATCTGCAAAGAGCCTGTGGTGCTTTGAAAGAAGAACACCCACAGGCTCATTTGTTTAAATACTTGGCCCCCAGTTGGTAGAACTGTTTAGGAAGGATTAAGAGACCTGGCCTTGTTAGAGGAGATGTAGCCATTGGGGGTGGCTTTAAGGTTTCAAAAGACTTACATCATTCCCACTGTGCTCACTCTCTGAAGATCAAGATGTAAGCTCAGCCGGTCATGCCACCATGTCTTTGCATCACCATCCTGGACTCTAACCTTCTAAAATTGAGCCATGCAAGTGCTTTCTTTTTTAAGTTGCCTTGGCCATGGTGCCAAGTAACTAAGATACAGGTCACCCAAACCAATGTGAGGCTTGGGTAGAAAGGTATTTGTGATGGGCACTATTAAACTACACATACTGCTATAAAACATTCCAAAATGCTAAACTATAACAAACTTTCTTAATTAACAGATGAGTACTCACATGCACACACACATGTGCACATGGAGAGACACAAACTCACTAATGATTGAAAATGAAGAGCCCATGAATCTAGAATGGTATATGTTAGGAGTTGGCGCCACCCCCTACTTTCTACTTTTTATGTAGGTGTGTAATCTATAGTATGGGGCTTTGACACATTGCTCCATTCTCAGAACTTTGTGATCACAGGACTTCTCAATACTCCTCAAAGTTACGAAAGGCCCTAAGGAGCTTTTAGAAATTAGACCTGTCAATATTTATTAAACTCTAAATTAAAACTTAAACAGCCCTAGGGCTAAAGGTATAGCTCAGTTGGCAGCATGCTTCCCTGGCTCACAGAAAGCACTGAGAGTTCAGGCGCCAGCATCACGGTATTATATAGCAATTTCCTCCATGTTAAAAATTCCCTTCTAGAGAAAGGCTTCTTAAGACTCGGGAAATTGTAAAAGGAGGCTCATAAGACTCAAGAAGTACACTTATGTTTGGAAATACAGAAACTTACAAGATTCACAAAGTCCCTCCCCAAGTTTAGAGAAGCAATTAACTTCTGCCAGGGGACCTTCCTAGAACAAACTACTAAACTAAAGGAGAATCTGCAATCTGCCAAGCTGACTGTAAATCATACAGAAAGCTCTAGGGTTCAGGGTCTTGTGAGCTGGAGTAGGCTTTGCCTTGAGTTCTTCCTGCTCCTGTAAGTACATCCAATAAACTAACTGATTTACCAAGTTAGACCTGGGTAAAATTATTACTTTGGTCTATTCTCAGTTCCCTATCTGGGATGAAGAGACATTTGTGTCCCATCTTCCCAATAGATGTCTCACACAACACACATAAGGCAGATGTGTTAGCATGAAAGGGGACTAGTCCCTTTAAGATGGGCTGACCCTTGTTCCAAAGGTTGTACCCCCTTTCCCAAGGGAGATACACATTGAAATCCTTAGAAATTGCTGGCAAGGACAAGACCAATCAGAGAGAAAGAAGGGAAGTTAAAGGGGAAATGACCCCCAAAAGCTTATTAAAAAGTCTAACCTAGAGATGGTGGGCAGATCCATCCCCTGATGGAAGCTCTATCTATGCTAATCTATTCTAATAAAGTCTCTCATTTTTGTTCTTTGTTTTGCCCCTTCTCTGTGGCTGGTGCTTCTCCATTTGAGCTTTTTCTCAGCCTTCTCAATCTCTGTCAATTATGTTATATCATCTAATAAAGCTTAAAAGAACAACCCAAAAGAATGGAATCTTGGGGCTGCAGAAATGGCTCAGCAGTTCTGGCTTGTTACTCCAGAGGACCCAAATTGATACCCAGCACCCATATGACAGGTTACACTCATTTGTAACCCCAGTTCCAGGGAATGCAACACTCTTCTGGCCTCCATAGGCACTTCACACATGTAGTGCATAGATATGCATGCAAGCAAAACACCCATACACATTGAATTTAAAAAAGAACTGCATTTGCAATTATTCAGATCACAAATTAAAGTTCAATAGGAAAATGTTGACAGCCAGTATATTAAACAAGACTTTCTAACATAAAATTTAATAAAAAGGCAAGCTGTAGATGAGGAAAAATATTTGTAAATCATAAATTTGATTTCAAAATACTTCATCCATTAGATATAAAAAGCTGTCAAAATTAAAGACAACCAATCCTTATGTGAAAAGATATGAACAGGAATCTCACTGCAGAACATAAATAACATTAATTACTTTGTCCTGGTTATGACAAATATCTAACAAAGCAAGAGAGAAAGGGTTTCTTTTGTTTGCAGTTTAAAAATGGGTACAGTTGGGGCTGGAGAGATGGCTCAGTGGTTAAGAGCTCTGGCTGCTCTACCAGAGGACCTGGGTTCAATCCCAGCAATCACATGGTGACTCACAAGTGTCTACAATTCCAGTTCCAGGGGATCTGGTACCCTCGCAAAGATTTATATGCAGGCAAAATACCAGTGCACATAAAATAAATAAATCCTTAAACAGAAATGAGTACAGTCCATTAGGGTGACTGGAACAAATGGCCACTGGTTACATTGTGCCTGCTGAATACACTGTGCTGCATCCAGAGAGCAGAGAACAGAGAGGGACAAAAAGTGGGTCCAAGCTACAAAACCTCAAGGCCTAACCCCAGTGATTCATTCCAAGAAGGGCTACTCAAAATAACACAATCTTCCCAAACAGTGCCCTCAGCTGGCAACCAAGTGTCTGTGAGCATTACACACACACACACACACACACACCTTTAGGGGACATTTCACATTCAAACCACACACCTAACAATGAGTACATTTTGAAAAGAGCCTATAAAATACCACTAAATAATATTATAATACATAACATTTTAAAAAGTTTCCCAAGCTAAAACATACAGAAAAATAAATTTTCATTCACTAACAGTGGAAATACAAACTGAAACTACTTATATACATAGGATATATTTATTTCTACTTTAATATGTTTTTTTTTCACAATCTGGGGGAAAAGATTCCATTTCGTCTACATTTCTGTCTTAGTTAAGGTTTCTATTGCTATGAAGTCACTATGACCACAGCAACTCTTTTTTTTTAAAGATTTATTTATTAATTATGTATACAGCATTTTCCCTAGATATATGCTG